CAGTTTGCATAATCACCATCACGTGCATTCCCTCATGCTGCTTGGATAGAGTAACTCATTACAGTGGAGAAAGGCCCCTTTTTAACTCAACCCCCACCAGAACACAGTGAAGGGAACTCCTCAATACGGGCTTTGCTTCTATAATCAAATTAAACAAAAGCAACCATGATGTTGCTGCAGTGGATGAATTAGAGGTGTTACATGGAACACAAACCAGTGCCTGGTGTCTAACATCTCACATATAAACACGTTTAAATATTCATTTTTAGCAAATAAAATACCTAAATGCCTAAAACTACTTGCTTTCCAAGACGTAGAAAATATTACAAAACAATAGGTAATAAATAAATGAAAGGTCTATCATTCCTTTCGGGATTCTGAATTGTCCACCGTCTTTTATGCCAGCGTTTTCAACTGAAAATATCTTAAGTAGTGAAAGGACAAGGGCATCGTGGCATCATGGCATTGTAAATGGTAAATGGACTGTACTTTTATAGCACCTTTCTATCTTACCAAGATACTCAAAATGCTTTACACTACAATCTGTACCCTCATTTATCCATTCATACAGCACTCTACTAGATCTCTACAAAGATTAATCAGAGCTTTATCACATTCATGCAACAATGGGACACACATCGGAGGCAATGAGGGGTTCAGTGTTTCTTGTCCAAGGACACTTTGACATGTGACTGCTGGTGGAATCGAACCCCCAACTCTTGCATCTTGCATTCTCTAACCACTCAGCCACAGGCGTCCTTGCTACGTAGCATCAGGCATAGTAGTATTGTGGCATACTGGCATCGTGACATTATTCATGCAATCTTTATTTATTCAGGTTAATCCCACTGAACCCGAGGACTCATTTACAAGAGAGACCTGATAAATTATTATTAATTATGTATCATTGCATCATGGCATTGTGCAGCGTGGCATCATGGCATCATGGCATCATAGCGTTGTGACATCATGGCATCATGGCATTGTAGCATTGTGTCATGACGGCACTGTGGAATTGTGGCATTGTGGCATTGTGGCATTATAGCATCATGCATGTTCTTGTGGTAGAGAAGTTGTTTTTCAAAAGGTCTTGCAAGGGTGCAGAGTGTAACGGAATGGTTTGGGTCAAACTGACTTTATCAAATCAACTGGTTCAGATCAAGATGCCACAGCAGATATATCTTCCCACCTCCTGCCTAACTGATTGCTGAGCACAAAGAAACTTTCAGGCAACAGGGATGGCTGTGGGGAAAAGTGAAGCATGAAAATGAATGTGTTTTAAACAAAAATGAAGTCCTTCTTCAGTGAACTGCTGGACAACGATAAAGACATTTACTTTTTTGATTTTGCTGTCCATAAGGAACTGAACTGAAGTGATGAGCTAAGGCTCTTTTTCGTTTTTTTTAATTATTATTTAATTACTTTTCTAGGTTTCCATCTTTTATTTCCAATGTAATTCTTGATGTGTCTTTAAATGTGGGCCTCTGAAGCTGAGTTTCGATATTCAATATCTGGAACATCATGTTTAAGTTTGTGTTTTATCATTTGTTATGTTTATGTTAGTTTTATGTTCTGTCATGTTATATTTGCATTTGTCACCTACTGTATGTGATTCTGATTTTGGTTATAACATTATTCATAATGGTTTTCACAGAACATCTGTAGGGAGTCACTAGTTCTGTTTTAACCCAATGATTTTCAGGCGACCAGTACATTTTCATGTCAGTGTTTGATTTCAATGCAGTACTGAATGTAATACGTAATCACAAAAAAGTTGAACAGTCTTACATTTGGCTTGGTACCCTTGCTTCTTCCCTGAACGATTGGAATGGTAGACAATAGATTAAGGGATCTAGTTCTGAGGAGACATTTTTCCTGTAGATGACAGCAACATGTTTTTTTCGGCTCTTTAGGAAGCAGTTGGCAAATATTCAATGAAATGACTGAGTGATCACATTTTGTTTTCAAGTCAAAGTCAAAGTTTCTTTATATGTCATATGCACCACTGGTATATGTGGTGGAACAAAATTGTGTACACAGGGTCCCAGTTACATCAAATAAAAGTATAAAATGTAAAAGAAAAACAGTAATAAGATCTAAGATATGAACTAAGAAAAATGTTAACTAAAAATATGCTAAGCACTAGTAGTACAAGAACAATACGCCGAACAGCAGCACGAACATGAGTCTGAGTGAACAGATGAGTACAAATTAACACATCAGCATTAAGTTATTTTTTTCATAGTGATTATCCTGGTTAGGAATTCATGAGTCTAACAGACCAAGGGTAGAAGCTGTTCTTCAGTCTAGTGGTTCTACACTTAATGCTCCTCAACCTCCTGCCTGAGGGGAGCGGGGCAAAAAGTGGTGTGCTGGGTGAGTGGGGTACTTCATGATGCAGGTGGCCCTCTTCTTGCATCTGTAGTTGTAGATGTCTGTGATTGTGGGGAGGCTGACTCCAACAGTCTTCTGTGCAGCCTTCACCACTCTCTGCAAAGTAAGTACGATCTAATATTTTAAGTAAGATCATAGGTTTTAGATAATATAATACCACATTTTTACATTATCATTTTCTCACAGTGTACAGTACAATATACAGTCATGTATAAGGATAATTTTAATCTCACACTCAGTCGTAATACCATACGTATATATTTATGTTACACTAAATATATCAGAAATTTTGATGTCATTAGATTATTTGAAGAATTTCCTCAAACAGGGAGGATTGAAGTAAAAAAAGCTGTTTTTCCAAAGGTTCTGTGAGGGTGCAGAGTGTAATGGAATGGTTTGGGTCAAACTGACTTTATAGAAATGTGTTATTCTGTATCTGAGAGCCAGAATATCTGGGCACAGACCCAGGAAATGTTTTCTCAAGTGGGAATGCACTGATAAGCCAGATAACAACTTCTTATATGCAATGTTTATGCAAGTGTGACGTAAATGGAGAGGATAATACTGAACAGAGCTGGATTGCGAGACAGGGGTTCTTCCGTTTGGTCTTGTGCTGTTTCAGAGGTTCAGTGTTGTCTACAATAAACTCCAAACTTTGCTGTCAAACATAATCAAGGCGTCACATTGCTTTATTTAATGATTTAAGTATAAATGTAGTAAAAATCTACCACATTCTCTTCTTATGTTGTGGAATTTTGCAAGAACTGCTACCACTTGGACCTGTGTTGAGGTTGACAGTTACTACCACACAAGAGTTGAGCTCATTTTCTGTAAAATTGATTGAGTTATAGACATTTTGGTGTTCAGTCTGTTAAGTTGAACCCTTGTTTGTGTTCCTACTTGATGTGGTTTGTTTGTGTAGATGTGTATTGGCACTCTGGAGCAGACCAAAACAAGCGTATTGAGACACATTGGAAGAAATGGTCCTGCTTCAGTTCAAATCAAACTCCATAGCAGTTTGTTTAAAGTGTGCTCCGACCTTGATCTACTAGAACTACCAGGTGCATGTTGCAAGTTGGGGCCAAATGCCTTTCTGGAGACAGATATGTTTTGCATTCTGCGATCCAGTCAAATAACTTCAGTGGAAACATGGTCAATGTGTCAAACTTACTGAATGCTTTTTTGGTTTAATGTGGTAAAAGTTTGCATGACATTGTTGGTTCTTTTTCATGATCCCTCCTAAAAGCAGCATGTCTAGTTAAAAAAATAATTATTATGAACATTACACTATTTTCAAGAAGTATTCTCTGAACCCATTTGTCTTTCTGCTCATACTTTTTAATCCAAAATATTACCCAGATAAATACTAATGATCACTAAAACAAATACAAATACTAATGATCTTTGGTGTCTGTATCTTACAGTAGTCTTGTTAATAAAAGCATAAAATCACAAGTGTGTTAAAGTGCACTAAATTAGAATAACAGGTAAGAACACAAGCAGAATGTGATGAATTTATTTTCACATCATCACAGTAAATAACCACAGAAGACTTCCTGTTGTTGAGTGTCAGGTTGGTGGTGAGCGTGCATTATTAATCAGCTGTCGTTTAGGCTCGTGTGGTCATCTGATCTCACCACTGTACTCATGTTACGGTTTATTCATGTTTCAGGTGCAACTTAACTGTTCTGGTAATTATAGTGCTGATATTTGTCAGGATGCTGTGCCCATAATGTCTCTCAAAGCAGCACAAGACCAAAAAAAACATTTATGTGCATTTGGTAATGTTGACACAAACGGGTGGAAAGTAATTTAATCAGAACAAAAATTCCATGAGAGTTTTCATTGTTCTATTCTTTTTTTAGTTTTTAGTTTTCTACATTTGTCTTGGAATCTAGCTGTTTTTTGTTTTGTTACCTTTTCCTTTTAGCCATCCTATTTGTAAAAAAAAAAAAAAAAAAAAAAACTGTAGTATGCTTTTTTTTTTTATAACTGTTTATTGTTGTTGCTGTTGTCCATTGTTGTCATCTTTCTTTGTTGAAATCAGGTCTCTCTTGTAAATGAGTCCTCGAGGCTCAGTGGGATTAACCTGTATAAATAAAGGTTGATTGATTGATTTAAATCCATAAACAAACCTCTAGAGCATAACCCGTCATTATAGTGATCAGAATTGAAATTTACCTAACTTTACTCGTTTGGTTTCTCTATACAGTGCCATGTTTGTGCTATAAGCTTTTATGATTTACAAAGCAATATTAAGTTGGCATGCATCTGCTGGCACCTAATGATACAGAGCGATAGCTATTTTCACAAATTTGAGGCTTCTGGTTTGCACATGTTGATCCGTCTCTCCTCTCTGTCAACATAATGTACTTTGGCTGTTGGATACAAGGAGCAGTTCATGAGCCAGGTCATATAAGAAATGTGTAATACGGATATTTTATAACTATTTTTATTGCCCATTAATATTGCCTCATTGTGGTTTTCTCCTATTTGAAAGCGAATTATTGATTATGATTGTGGCTTATAGAACATAACGTACTGTCTGAACTCTTTTTCCTGCAGATAAAGGAAAACTGAATGCAGGAAAAGACAAAGAAAGACACGAGTGAGGAGCAGATATGGCTGAGGGGATGATTGCTTCAGATTGTGGTAAGCAGCAATTTCCCGTCTCTTAGCAGACTTATGGAGTTACTGTGGGATTCTGGGTAAAATAACTATTTTATTTTGTTTGATTTTGTTTTCCTGCACGGTTTTGGACTGACCTGTATTTTGGTCCCATAACAGAAATAAACTGAACACATCATTTTACAATTTAATGTAAAGGTTCTCATCTTCCACGTTTTTGCCTGATTATGTAAACCTTTTAGTTTTGTGTAAAACAAACAAAAAAATCATTAATAATGGTGGACTTGTGAAGTTGTTGTGTGGCTTGTCTGATCATCTCTGTGGTAAGCAACATCCCCTGAGTGTTTCTTTGTGTTTGGTCAAAAAGCTTGGTGTTTAACGTGCATGTGACGCTTGCATAGTAAGGTCCAACATGTAAATGTTGTGCATGTGTGGAAAGGATTGAGTACTGACAACGATGGAGAACAAGAACGTGACAACATGCTGGCAGTCCACTCAGGCCAAACGTTGTAAAGATGGTTTTGTGGAAATGAAGCCAACTTGAATAAGCAGGACATCGTGGTGATGACTGGATGGCCTGAAGCAAGTGTTGCAGTTTCTCCTTAATTTGCTTTAAAACTTGTGTCACTTGTACTGCTTCAGGCAACGTTTTCAGTTTTTAATTTGAAATCAAGTGCAAATTCAAAATGTACTGAAGTATATTCGTGCTGCTTTGGTGAAATGTCATGTTTCTTCTGAACACAGATTACACCAGAAATGTATGGAGCCCACTGGAGTTTAGCGTTTGCTCAAATCCCTCACCAGATCTCCCCTTACAGCACAGATGCATTAAAGTTTAGCTGCTCCTGCACGGAGACGGACACGAGCCTTCCTGTGCAAACATCTGGAAACAGACCCATGAGCTTTCTGCAGGAGGTCTGTCTGTACATTCGTCTGTCTGTCAGATGGCTGTCTGTTACTTGGTCACAGTAAAACTCCAAAATGTTTCTGCATCGTCCAGAAAACTCAAATGAAGGACTCAGTTGTGTTGCTGCCGTGCTCCATTATCTTAGTAAGCTACTGAAACGCATTTTAAAGACAATGTGTTGAAATCTCCATTGCTTCTTGTCCTTTTCTTTACATTTCCAGAGCCAGATTGTGCTCCTCAGTGCTGCCCCGCCCACCCACACCTGCTCCCTGTTATCATTAGTCCAGCTGTCCGTCCTCGTTAATCTCCGCCAAGTTAGTCTTCTAAACTTCTCTCATCTGCTGTTGGTCATTTCAGTCGCCTGCTCTCTGGTTCTTCTCTGCTCTCACAGCAGCACTTTGCATTTTCCTGCCATCACACAGTTGTCCTTCTCAGAAAACAATTCTGTGATATGGCCCAAAAGAAAAACAACTCATATTTAGGCTGCATTTTGCCGTCCGTGAATTAGAAACTGAGCCAATCACGTCCCATCATAATGTGAACGTTCCCTGGAGCTGCAATGCAAGCTTCTCCTTTCTTGTAGTTTCTTACAGCTCTGAATGGCTCAGAGGAGCAACAGTGGACGGTTGACTTCAACCGCCACGCCCACTTGACCTGTTTGAGCTGCATCAGGACTAAGATTTATAGTTCCTGCTTTGAAACCGTTTCATGAATGGACTGTTGGTTCACAGAAATATGCTGCAATCATGAGTTGTACAACAGGAAGTTAAGATGACACTGAACTTTACTGATCCTGCAGGAAATTGTTGTGCCAGAGTTTCAGTACAAAGGAACAGACACAAGGATTCACACAAGATATAAAAATAAATAAATAAATAACATATGAATTACAAATATTAAAAATTAATTTCTAAAACAGGTTATGTGCAGACAGAAACATTAAAGTGTTTATTGTGGTGCAGGATTAATTTTCTTGTGTAGAAAGGGGGAGGAGTTGAAAAGTTTGATAGCCACATGCAGGAAGACTTCCTGTTAGTTTAACTAGTTCAGAAACGGAGAGTTTAAACTAATAAAATACACATCAAACACTAGTTTTCATGCTAAATGTTGGCAAACCCTTCATGACTTCTAATGCACTGCTTACTGTTGGTTTATTGTTTTCAGCCTCATTATTAACTGCATTAAACTGCATTAAGCTGCATTAATAACTGTATTAAACCTCATTAAACTGCATTAATGACTGTATTAAACTACATTAATAACTGCATTAATAACTGCAATAATATCTGCACTTATAACTGCACTTATAACTGCATTAATAACTGCATTAAACTGCATTAAGCTGCATTAATAACTGCATTAATAACTGCATTAATAACTGCAATAATATCTGCACTTATAACTGCATTAATAACTGCATTAAACTGCATTAAGCTGCATTAATAACTGCATTAAACTGCATTAAGCTGCATTAATAACTGTATTAAACCTCATTAAACTGCATTAATGACTGTATTAAACTACATTAATAACTGCATTAATAACTGCATTAATATCTGCACTTATAACTGCACTTATAACTGCATTAATAACTGCATTAAACTACATTAATATTTGCACTAATAACTGCATTAATGACTGTAGTAAACTACATTAATAACTACATTAATAACCTAATTAATAACTGCATTAATATCTGCACTTATAACTGCATTAATAACTGCATTAAACTACATTAATATTTGCACTAATAACTGCATTAATAACTGCATTAAAGACTAAAAAGTCTTCTTTAAAAGATGCCGTCCTGTAAAACGTCCAGAACATTCAGAAGATATCTTCACTGCTGCACAACTTAAAGCATTTTTGCTTTTCCACTGTCATGTTTGCTTTGCCTGACGTGCTGACAGCAGATCCATCATTTCTGAAGCAATTCCCAGAATTTTACGACACAAAGAGACGACTTGACAAGATTCTTATTCAAAAGTCAAACTTTCTTACTAGTGGCAGCTTTTGTCACGTTTGAGATTACAAGTGTCACTTTATGAATGTATGTGCATCCGTGAGCACAGGAATCTGCAACTAGAACTTTGTGTGTGCGTGTGCGTGTGTGCGTGCGTGTGTGCGTGCGTGCGTGCACCAACTTAAGTGAAGGTGGCATCTCTGTGTGGGAAGAGGCATTTGCATCTCGGCTTGACGCAGAAAAAGATGAAAGCAGTCAATGCTGTGGTAAAAAACGTGAGTTTGCAGACAGATAATGTCATTTCCTCAATATCACCATTAAATCTTAATATCCTGCTTCGTGGGCGGAGCCAGCCAAGCATGGGATTGTGTTTTGCATCTAAATCAAGAAGGTGTGTTTGCTCGCAGAGCCTCATTGATGCACAGTTTGATACGTCTTTTCTCTGCCTCACAGATGCACCTGCTGATCGTGCAGCTGTTTGTTGCATCCGAAGCTGTCTCACTGCAACTATAACACCTGTAATCAGGTGTGTGTGTGTGGGGGGGGGGGGGGGGGGGACAACACTCAAAGATTTACAGTCAAGTTATCATCGCTGCTGTGGAATTAGAATGCGGAGGTCTCTGAAAAACACCATTTGTATATTCACTTTAAAAATCTTAAAGCAGGTGGCATTTGTCAAACCTTGAAAGGACAAAAATATGAAGATATAATTTTTGCACTTATGTGAATTTAATGTGAATCACTGTGATGCCTGTATGTCTTTAATCTGTTTCTTTGATGCAAAGCACGCCTTGTGTAGTAACTTGGACCAAACAAAGCTGCAGGTGACTGATGAACCTTTTCATTGTGGCTCAAGTAAAATCCTACATCTATTCAGAGGACTCCTGCAGGCTTTGTAGATTTTAAAATGCTGCTTCTCTTTTATCCCTGTTCTCCACAAAGTGCTGTGTTTCCCTGCATGGCATCGACTGTCTCTCTGTCCGTGGTATTATTAGATCTGGCTGCTCACTTTAAGTTATAGAAGTGAAAACCTGTGTGAAGAGAGGTGCTGACAGAAGAGTGAAACATTCATGTGAGGCCCGGCTGCTGGTTTACTGGGAGAAAACACTAATGAGATGGTTTTAGGAGGGGGAGCTGCCTCCTGCTGACAGAAGACGAGCCACGGTGCTTGGGTCACGTGACGGCACCTCGTTCTGATTTAGGAAGACGATCATCGCTTGTTTGTGCAGCTTCTGCTAAAATCATCCCGTTTGATCCTGGACAAATAAAAAAACAGTGAAAGAAAATAAATAAATACATAAACATCCTGGCTGCTTTAAAATGGTTATACAAATTTGTAAAATGAATTATTTTTCTAATAAATTAAGGTGTTCTTTTAAAAGTTCCTAAGTATAATTTTTACATGCATTTAATAGAAATATAATTCTGTCCTTTTGGTACGCTCATCAGTTAATGAACTTAAGATTGTAATAATTGTGTGTCAGCTCTTTTTACAATAAGGAACAGGGTCAGACAGGGAAGCATTCGCTCTCCTCTTCTTTTTAATGTATGCATGGATGATTTATCAAAGTGGCTACTAAACTGTGGGACAGGGTGTGGAACCATAATAACCATCTCATGGATGCAGATGATCTGGTTATTGTGAGTCCTTGTCACGCTGGTCTTCAACAATTATTGAGTCTCTGCTCCCAACATGGTCAGCAGTATGACATTATGTACAATGCACTGAAATAAGATCATGATCATAAGAACCAGGGAGGACCAGAAGTTGGTACTTCCTGACTTCTCTTTATCTGGTGCTGCTGTTAAACACCTGGGACATTATGTAACTGATGGTCTGGCTGATGACATGGACATTTACAGACTACGTTGTTTAATGTATGCCCAAGCCAACACGCTTGTACACAGGTTCAGGATGTGCTCTGTGTGAGTGAAAGTGGCTCTTTTTAAAGCACACTGCACTCCTCTGTATACTGCCCACCTGTGGAGACGATACAAGCAAAGCAGCATTCAGAAACTCAAAGTGGCACGTAATGACGGGATGAGGAAGCTGCTTAGGATGCTCAGGTGGACTAGTGCAAGTCAATTATGTGTTGGTGTCTCCGCTTGTTATGCTGCGTTACGTAACCGTATGCACAGATTTATGTGCAGAGG